GAAGTGAAACAGCTGAATTGCTGTTGCACTGTTAACCTATCCATAAAGAAATGCCCTGCAATAGTAACTGTTAAGGTGGTCACTGATTTTTAACCCAGGACCACATGACGGTATAAAATCCACTTGTGCCAGAACCCAAACCAATTGATGACTACTGAAATATTCTGCAGTATAACAGCAGCAACAAAACACGTGTTGGGCAGTTGTTTGCAGGGTCTGCAAAACAAGTTGTGCGTGACAGAAAAAACTCAAGTACATCACTTCTTCAATCATGAAGTCTGAATACTGAAAAACATGACGATTGCAAACATGAATATGAAGAAATATTTATTCATTATGCAATAGTATACATTTATAAATGACTTGTGCGTTACCAATTCTTCTGGGCCAAAGCTATTTGGCAGACAGACCCCATTCAGACAACTCCCAATAGGAACAGATAGGGCAGAGTGGCTAAACTATCAAACAAGTCAAAAGCCCACATAGTTCTGAAGAGAACAAGGTTACATCTAGTAGCTATGTTGGTCTCATTAAGTGCCTTGGGGAAATTTGCAGTGCTTCATTTAGAGAACTCAGTTTATTGGGTGATGCCAATAACTCCACAGGCCAGGCGTCCGCCAGCATTACCCGTCTTAAAGCTTTCTTCATTTCCTCCTTTTCCAAGATCATCAGCCTTCTCATGGATCTAACAGAATAAGCAGATTTACAGTCTGTGAAAAAAAAATCTAGGCATCAATGTAAAAAAAAAAAATAAATGGATGAAAGTGACTTACCACCATAGTTCTGCCAATAATGGAGTTGGGCCCTGAGAGCTTGATAAGACTGTCTTTGATGTCAATCTTGGCTATATTGTCGGCTCCAGCAGTCACATTCCCCAAGTCTCCAACATGTCTAATTGGAGAAATGTAAAACTCCAGTTCTTAGCCCTGTGTAATCTCTCTCAAATTCATTCAAGGTATTTTATAAACATAAAAATAAGTACAAGTGTTTTAGTACCACCTGATAACCATTGTAAAAAAAAAAAAAGTGGCACAAAGCATTAATTCTTTGTGCATGTGTGTATTCTTCTACAATTGTTAAACACCACATAGCAGCATCAGTATTTAAAGCCTCAGTTTCATTTAGGTTGGAAAAGCAGCAGGCAGCAACTTTTTCCTCACTGCTCAAAAAAATCAATGACCTGACCAACTTAAATTAGATATCAAATTAACAAAAACAGGTGGTCTAGTTTTTTTCTCTTTCCCATTTTAGCATGTATAGAAATTGTCAATATCTTTTCCATTACCAGGCACATTTCACTAAACATGTCTCTACTCATTTCCCCTTAATTAACTCACCGTTCTTCATCAGTAGGACCACCATGCTTCTTTGAAAAGGGATTGTAGTGTGGCCCTGCACTGATGCACCCTGGAAATGAGAAAATACAACATTAAATCCTTTAGATATCCAGTGGAAAGCACCTCTAAACATTTAAGCAGAACTTAAAAAAAATACTCACCATTTGTGTTGTCTCCAAAAGCATGGACATGGAAACCATGTTCACCAGGTGTGAGGCCACCGATTTCTCCAGTAACCTTCACAGGAGCTGACTCATTCTGGGGATTAAACAGCAACAATGTGCACAAAAGAGCTGTCAGAGGCAGGCAGCAGTGATTAACTACCCACAAAGCAAATTTAACTGAATGTCTTGAAAACACACGTTTAAACCACAGTGAGAGGTTTTCCAGCGTCTACATTACAACAAGATCCTGTCTGCAACGCCTCCAGTCAAATAACCACAATATTACAAGACAGTCAAGTTTATAGCCAACTAAAGGTACATTGGGCCAAGGAGTACAACTACTATACCCAGATGTAATTTTAACAAAACTACAAGTAAAAATGTGGAGTGATGTCATGCACAGCATCGCTCCACGTGTGTAAAGTGCACCGTGACATTGCGCATCCAAAACGTAGTCATATTTATGCGAGAAACTAGTAGAGAGCAACGCTTGGGGGACAAAAAGCGAGTACGAGGTGGAGACTCGGTCCATGACGGAGTGAGGGAATGACTCGGCAGAAAAATCAAATGGACACCTTCATATCACCCAGCTGTGAGCTGTGAAGCAGCAGCTTTTCAGTATGGTTACGTAAAAACCAACGCATAATAGTTAAACACCGTTACGAATGACTTGGGCGTGATTAAGAAACCACCACTAGCAGTGAGCGAGTTTGCTAACGTCCAACTTACGCAACAGGCGTCTACGCGGTTAATAATTACCACTCCCGGCCCAAAGGTTATGGTCCGACAGGAAAGCCTTTGATTTCAGCAATATTAGCTGGGTAAATAAGCGCTGCTATGAATAAAGAGTGCAAAATAGCATACCGACATGTGCACTTTACGTTTGTTTTGCAGAACACACTCGAAAGCTAATTTGCATCGAGTAAGTGTTGGGAAAGTATGCGAATCTGCGACAAACCTTCCTAGCTCTCTGATGAAAAACTTAAATCAAGCATGGGACGTGGTGGGTGACAACAAATAGGACGCGTCTCCTTGAAAACGGAAGCATTAGCTAACCTATGAATGGAAGTTAGCCTCCGTAGCATTACAAAGCTAAAGTACCCGACAAAAAAAAAGCAATGTTAAATTTCTGTTTTTCCTTTTAAGCTGGCTACTTTCTAATTATTACACCTTACAGCACGTTTACCTCCTGCTCAAAATGAACCGTCCCAGTGGTCTCTCCAGCTCCTTTTAGGACACACACGGCTTTGAGCACCATTTCTGCAGCAATCGGGCCTCAGCAGACTTACTATCACAAGGAGCAGACGACCAACTGAATAAACGCTGCGTCAATGAACGTAATGGGCGGGTTTATACTGCAGATAACCAATAGATTAAGAAGGGATATTTTGATTGGTCGCAATCTTGTATGAAAAAAGTCTCCAGTGGCCAGGTTGACGAATGTGGTTTAAGTCTGTAAAAATTATTTTTAGAAAAAATAAATGTATTTTTTGCCTATGATGGTACCACTGTGATACAGATATGGACATATGTCACAAAAAATACATTTTTCATACTTGCTGAAAACTATAAACTTAGTAGTATTGCAAAATCTACCTTTTTATTTATTTAGTTTTTTGCTTTACCTCATGTTATGATGTTATTCCCTCAAATCATTCTTGGAGTGTTGCTCTGATTCTTTCATGCATATTTGAGAAATGGTTTAATCTCCTGTGGCAGCCATCCAAGTGTGCAAACGGCTCAGTCTCACCAAACGACACCTTTTCTATGAAGCTCCTCCAGTCTCCAAACCGAATTTCGGCCTCATGGAGCACTCCTCCCCCCTGCAACTCTCCCATTCAGTTCCGCCAGACTAGTGCCAGCAGCAAATACCAAAAACATGGTGAAACTGCACATCTGCTAACTATTTCATATGAGCCTTCTCAGTGAAACACTGATAAAAGTTTAATGGAGAAAGGTTGTCATGAAGAGCTGAAAAAGTGTAGGAAAGAGCAGGAGCGTTTTAAAGAGACAGAACCCCAATTATTTCAAGGCATTAATTGGTGCTCCACAAGCCTGGTCCTAAAAACCCACTTGCCTGCATAGTTTTAAAGGCCCCTGCACAAATGATTCAAATCATTTGACTGTCTAGTTCTCATGCCATCAACTTTTGCAGATACTTTTGCAGGTATCTGCAAAAGTTGATGTTAATGAGCCATCCATTTGAAGTCAGGTGTGCTTCAGGGAGACATTTAAAACATGCAGATAAGTGTGCCCATAGGACAGGGCTGGGAACCGCTGATCCACAGCAGATACAGCCAAAATGTAAAGAATGTGCTCTGCTCAGATGATGGCCAATCACCATTTTTTGCTTGCACACAAAATGATGTGTGACAGAAAAATAAACATCACCGCTCTGAACAAACCAACCCCACTGTGAAACATGGCAGAATAATTTTGTGCAGTTGTTTTTGTTTAGCAGGAGACAAGAGAACCTGTAAGAGTTGATAGAGATGGATGGGGCCAAATACAGTACATCCAAAAACGTGGAGGGTGCAAATATCCTAAGACGGAGGCAGAGGTTCACTTTTGAACAAAATGAACCTAAATGGATTGTAATGGTTTAGATTGAAGCATGTTTATGTATTACAATGAAGCAGTCAAAAGATAAAATACATGGAATAACTCTGGAAGGGAAAAGTTTTAAACATTCTCAAATAGTGAAATATATAAATTTGATTAAATTATTGTAAGAATCTGCAAAAAAAAAATCAGAGGAGCTGAACATCCAATTAACCTTTTATGATAAGACCTCACTTTTAATAAAGGATCATGTTATTCTTTTTAACCACGACGCTTAGTCCAAAAACTTGCACAGGCAGGTTACATATTTCACACTTGAGCATTTATCTGACAAAGCTGAACAAAAACAAATATATAATCAAGAGTTAGGCACAGGTTAAAAGAAGCAAAAAAAAACATTTGGTACAAAAATAGTTTATTAAAAACAAGTTCCTATGGCTGAAATGTTGACGATTTCATGTCCATGTCTTCCATATTGAAAAGAAACCATAGAAACATCTGTCATTTTCCAAACCACTAGGAGTTAAAAACGTTAAAGCAACCTGTATCCGTGGTTCTTTTTGTGTCAATGTGTTTCAGATACGCAAATCACAGAATATTAACAACTATTACCATTAAACCTTAAAGTCATCAGTGACAAAAGCATATTTACAGCAGTGTCCTAGGCAGCGGCCTTCATTTTTCAGCATTTCTGCTTTACACAACTCGGTGTAAAATTATCAGATTGTTGATTCTGGGCTTCAAAATAAAAGACATTTGTAATGTTATATGGTATGTTTTCAATTGGGAAACTAGGTTCAGTTTTTTTAATAATACAGTTTTGAATGTGACGGACAACTGTGCTGAAAGGGGACAAATCTGACAATCACCACTTACTCAACAGTAAAAATCATAGAGCTTATAAAAAAAGAAAAAAAATAAAGCAGGCAACAGAAAGGTGAGGTAATTCAACAATTTTCTTTAGTCTTCTTTTAACATTGATAGCAAACATCTTTGTTTTAAATTTCTCACAAATCAAAATTGTCTCTTTTTTTACAGATTGAAACCAAACCTGTGTTTTTAGCCATTTGTTTATAAAAATTAAAAATAGCAGCTGAAAATGTGTGAACTTAGAGGGGAAAAATTAGGCATCCTTATGTTTCCTATGACATTTAACTTGCAAACATTTAATATTTGACCACCAAAGTATCCAAAATGTATCAACATTTTTGACAAAATTTTGTCTTTTTGACAAATCAAACTGTTTTCTTTTTTCTGACATTTTTTAATAGTTGTTGTTCATAGTTCCAGTTCTGGAAACTATTTTTAATGGAAATATCCTAGCTGAATCATGGTCATTGTTCATTTATGTAGCATTAGATTATATTCTTGAATATCTAAAAAATGAACATCTTAATTTTTTACATCGTGTATTTCTCTGATTAGTCACATTTTCCTTGCTTTTGCCTTAAAAGTAAACAAAATAAAAGAAACACTCTTGCGGTAATGTCATCAAATGCACATTTGTTTCCTTAGAAATAAAATCCTTTGAGCTAGTTAATTCATAAAATCATTAGATTCTGTCTTTTGGTGGTAATAACGTCATAAGCAGTGATAAGGAGGAAAGATTGAAACCACCATTACAATACATTCAATTTAGACTGTTTTCAGTGTTGCAGATTTTAAAAGTGAATCCATAACAGAACTAATTTGTTGTTGAGAAGCTCCTTCCTCAAGGTGATGACATGAGAGTATGAGTAAAAGTGGGACAACAATAATCTCCCCCATCTGTATACAAACTATTTTAATAAAAAAACAAGTAAATATCTAACTATTGATCAAAATGAAACCAAAACGCCAGGCCAGATTATACTCATAATGTGATGTTTCAACAGATCTGGTTTCATTTGCTTGACAATGTGGTGGGAGATGTGCTACCGCCCAGGAACTGTCAACGATCATCTGACGAACAGTCACTAGTTAGAACTGAGGCTATTACAGTGAACAAAACGTTTTTTGGAGTTTCTCTCATTCACAGCAGTCACAGGTTGAAGGTCTATGATGCTGCAGCATCTTTTTCTTCTTTTGTTGCTGTGGACTCATTTTGAGCCGGCTCTTTAGACTCGGAGGATTGGGGATTTTCAGCAGCTGGAATCGGTCCGGCGAGTAAATGTTCTGACTCTTCCTTCTTTTTAGTGGCTTCCCCATTTGGCTCTTTCCTGGTTTCCACCGTAACTAGAGGAGTCCCACCCGGTTGCTCCGTGCTGTTAGAGCTCCGGAATTTGTCCATGTTTTCCAGTTCGGCCAGTCGATCGTCTTTATCCCACCGCGACGTCCTCTCTCGTCGCTCCGACCGTCTCGGTTTGTCTGCTTTGACTTCAGGCGCTCTGGTTTTGTCCCGGCTGCCTCCTTCTCCTCTGCTTCTTTCTCCTCCCTCCGCTCTGCCTCGATCTCTCTCCCCATCGTCACTGCGGCCTCGATCTCTGTCTCTATCAAGGCTGCCTCGCCTCTCTCTCCAGTCCCGTCTATCTCTGTCCCGATCTCGGTCTCTGTCTCTCTCCCATCCGCCCCCACGGGAATTCCCTACATCTTCCTGCCAACCTCCGAGCCTGTCCCGCCCATCCATTTTGTCACTACCCCCTCCTCTGCCTCCATCACCAAAACGCCTTCCCCCTCCAAACCCTCTGTCCCTCTCTCTGTCTCTGTCTCGATCCCAGTCTCTGTCCCTCTCCTGTTCTCGATCCCTGAATCCTGGCCTGTCACCCCTGAGTGGTCTCTCATCCATTTCCTCCTGCCCTTCGAAGCTTCTAGGACCACCTGGTCTTGTAAACGGGGCAGGACCTTGAGGGGGCGGGCCATGTCCTCGAGGGAAGGGACCTCTCATATTATGTGGAGGGGGCATTCCAAATCCTCCTTTAGGTTGTGGCGGCTCGTGGCGCATCATTTGAGGATGTGGCCCCCTGGGTATCATCTGTGGCGGGCCAGGGGGCACGTTGGGGTGAGGTGGTCTTTGCCCTTGGGGTGGAGGGAAACGTTGCATGTGTGATGGCGGTGGACCCTGGGGGCGCTGGAGTGGCATCATACCAGGTCGGGCACCTAGTAGACCCCCAAGAGGGGACTGGATGTTTCCAGGGTGTCCACCTGGACCTGGAGGTCCGACTTGGGGCCCGCCAGAATGTCCGACTTGGGGTCCGCCGGGATGTCCGACTAGGGGACAGCCGGGATGTCCAACTGGGGGACCGCCGGGATGTCCGGCTGGGGGACCGCCGGGATGTCCGGCTGGGGGACCGCCGGGATGTCCGGCTGGGGGACCGCCGGGATG